TGGTACAATAGTGGCACCATTATGTTGGAAGTACCAAATAGCCTGACACCGTGTGGAGTAAGCTCTGTCAAACTTCTTGCATCCTGTTCCCCTGAGTGGCCTGAACCCTGTGGCAGAACAGACGCGGGACCCCACTAACCCTACAGAAGACAACTATGGTAACGATCCCAAACTATCAAAATTGTAGACAATATGTGACTGTGAAATTCCCAGAAAACTAAGAGTTAAAGAACCAGGACACCTGTTTTGAGAGTGTTTTTCTTGGAATGATAGGGAAGCTGTAGCCATAAAATAGCAATAGGACTGCTTAAACAACACCCATATTGTATGTTCACAGGGTTCAAAATATTTCAAAGAGTATCAGTTGTTGGATTACTTGCTAGTGGTAATCAATGGCTGCTGAAACCAACAGAACTAATGGTAAACAGTGTAGAGGTGGAAAATGAAAACCATTTACTGCTGTTGGGGGTACAAACTGGAAGAGCAATTGTGAAAATCAATGTGGAGGCCACTCAAGAAGCTAGATCTAGATTTCCCACATGATCAAGCTGTACCACTTTTACACATATACCCAAAGGACCTGCTATCCTACTTAACACATACTTGTTCATCGATTCTCTTAATTAGGGTTTCTATTTCTGTGAGAAATAAACAGTGACAAAGGTAACTTTTATAATGGAAAACATTTAACAGGGACTGACTTACAGTTTAGAGGTGGGAAGCATGGTGCCATGCAGGCAGAAATGATGCTGGAGAGGTAGCCAAGAGGTCTACATCTGGATCCACAGGCAGCAGGAAAAGGCAGTGACCTAGGAGGCCTGTCTTGAGCTTCTGAGGCCTCAAAGCCCACCCCTAGCGACACACTTCCTAAAACAATGCAATGCTTTCTGAAACAAGGCCACAGCTCCGAATAGTGCCACTCCGTATGATCTATGGGGGCCATTTTCATTCAAACCACTACATCCATATTAGTTGCTGCTCTATCCAAAATAGCCGGAAAGTAGAAATACAGTAGGAGGCATCCATCAGTTGACAAAGAGATAATAAAAATGTGGTACATTTATACAGTGAAATATTATTCAACTGGTATAAAAAAATCAAAATTGTGTTTTCAAAATTTATTTAGTTTTAGTTATTTCTCCTAGTATTCCTTCCTTCATTCTGATCTCTCTTCTCTACCACATGTAGCTATACGGAAGCATGCAACTCTAGAAGCTTCTTACACTACATAGATACACATATATAAAGTGTTTAAATGGAGTTACCCTATAGTAGGGCAACAGAAATCCTAACGTAGCCTGTTGAGTCTGTATGTTACCCATATATATGCTTTCAGTACTTAGGACAATCAATTAGAATGCCCTTCCCTGGGGAAAGGCACCTCTCCTATTCCCAGATTTCTTCTGTTGCTTATTGTTATGTATATATGATTGATAAGTTATGGGTTTCTCTTCACTCAGTTTGGTATGGTCATTGTTGTCATGTTTGTTAAGCTCACATATGGAAACTCATGATGGTCAGACTCTATGGGTGTAACTTCTATATTACTAGGAGATACATTCTCACAGCAAATGCCTAATCTTCTGGCTCTTATAGTCCCCTGTTCCCTCTTCTAAAATGTTTGACTAGCCTTAGATATAAGAGTGTTTTGTGTGGTTCAAAACTCTCAGGGGTCACGGGCGGGGGGAACCACGGCTCAGTCGGCAGAACTCGGGACTTGGCTACTCAGTTCCTGGGGAGTCTCGGTGTAGTTTGCGGTCCCTGGGGCTCAGCAGCGTGGCTCAGCAGTCCTGGGAACCACAATTGTAGCGGAGAGAGCCCCACAGACGGCTGGGCCTGGGAGAGCCCGGACGGCCCTCGAAGGATGATGGTGGGGGCCACAGACAGGAGAGTCCACTTCTGCCCCTGCCACCAACCATGTCTCAGCATCTCAGCAGCAGTGGAGAGGGGGAATGTGTTACAGCTCTTTGAAAAGTGTTACAGCTCTTTGAAGTGCCTCGGAGGCACTGGCTGGTTGGCAAAGAGGGAAGGGACGGCAAAAGAAGCTCTCAGACACCCGGAAGAATCTTGCACACCTTTACTTTTGAACTTGGCCTATATATACAGTTTTGGGGTGGGGTTAAGGTCTGGCAGCAGGTAACCCCTATTGGTTTGGCCTGAGAGCTTGGGAATGCCTCATCTGCATGATGGTGCTACTCCTACGTGATCAATGACCATGGACCTCTCTGTGGGAGGGACTGTGGAGAGCTGAAGCTGAGAGAGCCGGATGTCTGGGAAAAGCCCGAAGCACCTTCCATCCCAGTGGCCTTCTTTGGGCCAGGTTCCGGGGTTCTAGGTCTCTTCTACCAGGCTTTCTGGCCTTTTTCTCATAGCTCACTGCCCCACAGTTTTGTAGGTGTATCTATTGGCTCCATAACATTATGGTTCACAAGTGTCACAACTGTGTAGGATTGGTAGTTGCTTCCTCCTTTGAAAGTGTATATGGAGCCTCCTGACACCTTGAAACTAGTCCTCAGGAAAGAGTTTTTCAGCTCAGTTCCAGATCAGGTCTCTGGGACCTGCTCTTGGAATGCATGACATCTTGAGCAATAGATTTATCTTGCTCCTCTGGAGTGTGTAACCAGGAGAAACAGCAACAGGCTGTTTTTGAATATTTTTGGAAAGCCATGGTCAAAAATTAAAAGGAGGTCTAGTGAAGCCACTGTTTTACAGTACATGGTGATTATCACAAAAACAAACAATTTGTCAAAGTACAGAGAGTGAAAGACTATTGAATATGGTCTGAGACAGTGCCCTGAGCAGACTTTGGGCACTACTTCTGCTCCCAGTCCCACGACATCCAGAGGACGTTCAACTCCCATGTGTTCTAACATGCACAAGATTAAAATAGGCTTATGCTGTAAGATCAAGAATTGACAAATTGGACCTCATAAAATTGTAAAGCTTCTGTAAAGCAAAGGACACTGTCAATAGGATAAAACCACAACCAACAGATTGGGAAAAGATCTTTACCAATACAACATCCAATAGAGGGCTAATATCCAATATATGCAAAGAATTCAAGAAATTATATTCCAGACAACCAAATAACCATATTAAAAATGGGGTAGAGAGCTAAACAAAGAATTTCTCAACTGAGGAATCTCAAATGGCGGAGAAGCACTTAAAGAAATGTTCAACATCCTTAGTTATCTGGGAAGTGCAAATCAAAACAACCCTGAGAGATTCAACCTCACACCAGTCAGAATGGCTAAGATCAAAAACTCAGGTGACAGCAGATGCTGGTGAGGATATGGAGAAAGAGGAAAATTCCTTCATTGTTGGTGGGATTGCAAGCTAGTACAACCACTCTGGAAATCAGTCTGGGTGTTCTTCAGAAAATGGGACATTGTATTATCTGAGAACCCAACTATACCACTCCTGGGCATATACCCAAAAGATGCTCCAACATATAACAAGGAAACATGTTCTACTATGTTCATAGTGGCCTTATTTATAATAATCAAAAGCTGTAAATAAACCAGATGTCCTTCAACAGAGGAGTGTATACTGATAATGTGGTACATTTACACAATGGAGTATTACTCAGCTATTAAAAACAATGAATTCATGAAATACTTTGGTAATATATAGAACTAAAAAATATTATCCTGAGTGAGGTAACACATTCACAAAAGAACACACATGGTATGCACTCACTGATGAGTGGATATTATCCCAAAAGCTAGGAATACCCAGGATACCATTCTCAGACCACATGAAACTCAAGAAGAAGCAAGACCAAAGTATGGGTGCTTCTGTCCTTCTTAGAAGGAGGTCAAAATACTCATGGGAGCGAATAAAGAGACAGTGTGGAACAGAAACTGAAGGAAAGGCCATCCAGAGACTGCTCCACTTGGGTATTCATCCCATATACAGTCACTAAAGTAGGCACTATTTTGGATGCCAGGAAGTGCATGCTGACTGGAGTCTGATATAGCTGTCTCCTGAGAGGCTCTGCCAGATCCTGACAAATATAGAGGTCAATGCTCACAGCCAACCATTGGACTGAGCACAGGGCCCCCAGTGGAGGAGTTAGAGAAAGGACTGAAGAACTAAAAAAACAACCAAGGAATACACATGGAGGGACCCATGGCTCCAGCTGCATATGTAGTACAGGATGGCCTTGTCGGGCACCAATGGGGGGAGAGGTCCTTTGTCCTGTAAAGGCTCGATGCCCCAGTGTAGGGAAATGCTAGGGCAGGGAGGCAGGAATGGGTGGATGGGTCTGTGGAGGAACACCCTCATAGAAACAGGTGCAGGGGAGATGGGATAGGAGGTTTTGGGGGGTGGTAACCTGGAAAGGGGATAACATTCGAAATGTAAGCAAAGAAAATATCCAATAAAAAAGTTATAAATTGAAACATAATAGAATGAGTAGGATTACATGGAATGAGTATCGGAAGGGCAGGGTAGAGGAGGAACTATGGGAGAGATAACTAATACTAAAGGGCTTTTGAAAAATAGATGTGAAAATCTATTACTATAGAACTTTATAAATTATATACACATGTATATAGTAAAAGGGGGTTTAAATAAGGGTAACCTATGCTGATGGCTAATTCAACACTGCAAAATAGTAAGTAAAAACTTCAGTACTGGGAAAGAGTAACACTCTTTTGAATTGTTGAACAATAGAGATTGACAAGAGTTCAAACCTTATATGCTATTCTGAACCCTATCAGCCACAATAAGAAGCAAACTAATAAAATGCATGTACATTATAAAATACAATTTATTAAAATGTTTATACAATAGACTCTAGCCTCTTGATCCATCAATCTGGATGCCTTTACAGTCCTAGTCTTGTGTGAAAGTTTTCGAAGTTCCATGGAAAATTACTTGTACTCAGTCCACATTAGTAGGCCAAAGATGCTCGGGTATATCATCATGGGATGGTAGTAGCAGCAGCAATAGACAAACTTGCTCAGGAAGAAGCAACACCAGGAAAGTAAGATTGCTTATTCTTCAGACTTTGAACGAAACATACACTTTGAGGGCAGATCTCTCCCTTTATCCCTCTCCCCGCCATCTGTTAGTTCTCTCTGTAATTGTACAGGTCGGACCATTGTTTGTAGTGAAACAATCTGTAAGGAATGAAAAAAGCAGAATAAAACCACTCAGACCCTGGCTAGAAACCAAAACAAAGAAATATGATAGCACCATAGTCTCATTAACTCCCTGAAGACCTGCCCACAATGATCACCCATTAGTACTCACTTGTCAAAGAATTCACTCAAAGGATATTACCATACTAGGGACCAACCTTTTACCACTTGAATCTTTGAAGAACACTTAAAATCTAAACAATAATAGTAGACATATTTTATATATGTCTTAATCTGTCAACTCTTCATCCCTCATTCTATCTTCTTAAAAAAAAAGCATTGAGGAATGTGAAATATGAGTCTAAACTTTATTGGTTGTATACATCTTTATAATTTTCTTTAGTATGTTCATTATTCTTTTTACTATAATGAGAAGTTAGAATAGAGTATAAATCATTATCTTCCAAGTTTTCTTATTGGAAGTCATAACAAGAAGAATAGTATAATAGGCAGATCACTTATCTCCATTAAAAACATCATCTCTGATTGTGATAGCACAGTTATTGATATTCATTTGCTAGGTCATAAATATAGTTATGTGTTGGTATCCATGTAATATTGGTTCTAGAACCCTGTTGGTACAATTCCTTCACAGGGAGAGATGTAAAATATTTAACCATTTTTCTAATCTTCCAAAGTAAACCAAGGCATGATCCTATCAAAGTTCTTGCTGGAGAACCAATGAGATAATTAATCTTTCTAATAGAGCCTAGGTAAGGGCTTACTTACAGGGATGTGACTGCTACCCTGTCTTCCTAAAACAAGCTGTACTTGAAAAGCCTTTATTACCCAACAGGTATGGGGGCTTCTCCTTAGCCTTGTAGATAAATTTTCTTTTTTCTAATCTCTCTTGGCCTATCTACTCTAGCCCTATGCAATTAAGGAAGAGGTATTACAACAGGTGATAAGGAGTCCCTGAACACTCAACTAGGGGTCTTATAAACTTCTTCATTCTTCATTTAAAAAGCATAAACAGCAAACAAGCTTGACTAGGAAAATTCTTTTGCAGGGGAGTACATTAAACTCCCTAAAATGGCTGCTCCTTGCCTTAGACAGTCACAACTCCTGTCAATAGAAAAGTCTATTCAATTTCCAAGGGCTTTATATAAAATGATATAGATTTTGATAATATACAGTAATCATTCTCCTATACATTTCATTAGCTAAATCATTTCAAAGTTTTTTATAATATTTAATATAATTGAAATGCTAAACAAGTGTTCTATGATATTTTCCTTTTTATTATTATTTATTCTTCTCTCATATAATATATCCAAACTGAATCATCCCCTACCTCAGGAGTCTATGGTGTTATTTAGGGATTTTTTTTTTCAGATTTTATAAAGTATTCTTTTTAATTCTTTGAGCATTTTGTTCAAGTTTCAGCACAGTCATTCTCTCTCCCCCAACACTTCTCAGATAGACTTCCTTATCCCTACCAACCTAACTTTGTGTCTTTTGCCTTTTCATTCGAGGCCAATTTGTGCTTACTAAATATTTTTTAATTGTGTGTCCTTCCACTACAGTGTGAGGAAATTATTGGCAATTATCATTTTTTTTAAATGACCTTTCTTTACACAACAATAAAAAATGTCAATAGCTCTTCTGCTAGGGTTGGGACTTCATACTAACTTCGCCTCTGCATGCCAAAATTTGATCTGGCTTGGTCTTACACAGGTCTTATGAACAGTGTCACAACCATTGTGCATTCCTATTTGTAGATGCCCTTTTATCCAGAAGACATTGTTTTCTTGTAGTAATCCTGTGTTTATGGATTTTATAATCTCTTCACCCCTCTTGGTTAATAATCTGTGAGCCTTTGGAAGAGGCAATATGATACATATTTTCTTGTTAGGGTAGAACATAGTGTAGACAGTTATTCTTTATCTCCTGGTCATTACATAAACAACAAAAATATCTTCATATGTTCAATATAGGTATACCCTTTTAAAAATATTTCTTTTTGTTTGTTTGTTTTTGTTTTTTGTTTTTCGAGACAGGGTTTCTCTGTGTAGCCCTGGCTGTCCTGGAACTCACTCCGTAGACCAGGCTGGCCTCGAACTGAGAAATCTGCCTGCCTCTGCCTCCCAAGTGCTGGGATTAAAGGCGTGCGCCACCACCGCCCTTAAAAATATTTCTGATCTAGAGTTGGTTGAATCTGGGAAAGTATAATATGTAGATTCAGAGGCCCAACTTTGTATTCACATTCTGTCAGTTAAATACTCTATTTACAGGTAAAATATAACTGTTGTCTTAATATTTCAATTATTTACATTTGCATATTTCTTATATATTCATATTTTCATAGTTTCTTATGCTTATTTAGGGTAAATATTTGATGAAAGATTTCATAGATTAAATTGTTTTAAAATCTTTGACAATTTTTTGCTCTTTGGGTAACTATTTGGAATGTGTAACATTATGAGTTCAAAACACCTTTTGTCTAACAATTTCACATATTTTTATTTTCTCCAAAATTTATTGATGTGCCTCAGCTATTTAATATTCATTTAAAAATATTCTATTGGAGAACACACCAGAATAAATGTGACATTATAATTCCTATTTGAATATAAGAAGTGTTGGGGAATATCATTAACCTGAAGAAATACTTCTATCATTATAAAAGAAACGACATTTTGATGATATCAAAGACATCTCTAACTTAATACATATTATCTTCAATTCTCTAGCTACACAACAATAGAAAAAAGTGAACTTCCTTAATATATATCATGAAATAGTTAATAATGTCTGAAGGGGGTTCAATTTTGCTAATTTTCAATTCATGAAATATATATGAGAAGGACAAAATGATTTTTATGGAAAATAATATCAAAATAATAAATGAAGGAGACATCTTTGTATTTTAGAAGGTTTCAGAAGTGTCACCAGACAAGTTGACTCATTCATTTAAGCATGGGTCAAGAAAATCTGAACAATACAGTCAGAATTCTGCATGCAATAATAAGAGAATAAAGGAAGCTTTCTACTTAAAATTGCCTTTAAATTTATTTTATTTTCTATGTGTGTTGCTTGGAGATATATATATATATATCTTTGAACCAGTTTGTACCTAAAGAAGTCAGGAGAACAGAAGAAGGCATTAGATTCCCTGGAACTGGCATGATAAACAGTTATGAGCTTCCTTGTGTATGCTGGGAAACAGACTCATGTCCTCTGGAAGTATAGCCAGTACTATTCAGCACTCTTAAATACACTTTCTGTTTAATTTTTGATTGTACACTTGAGTTATAAACAAATGTACTCAAACAGAAGAAAACTACAACTCAATCTTAAAATACTAACGTGTAACATAAAATAACAGTCTCAATTAACATGTCTTTTTTGAGAAATGAGTGATCCTTGGCTAATAATAAACTATAAAGCAGGACCTTAAAAGAAGAAATGGCCTTTGTTAGTCTTAATGTAATGACTCTTTTTGTTTACTTACATTTTGATATGTTCCCAAAATAATGCAATGGTTAAAAAACTGAAAATTGTCATTACAAATACTATCACTACTGCCATATTCTCCATCCAGCTATTGTACAAGGAATATAAGGGATCTGAAATGAAAACTAAAAAAATTAGAAAATTAATGAGGTTATGTACTAGACCAAGAGACATTAAATATCATGTAAAATCACTTTAATAAGTCTGAGAATTCTTCTTAGCCGAATGCGGTCATACATGTCTGTAACCAGCATTCAGGAGGCTGAGTTAGAAGAGCTGAGTCAGATTTAACATTACTAAATCTAATATCACACAACAAAATCAATGCATTAATAATGGGAAACTTCAACACCCTACTCTCACCAATGGACAGGTCATTCAGACAAAAACTAAACAGAGAAATAATAGAAGTAATAGATGGTATGACCTAAATGAACCTAATATATCTACAGAACATTTCACTTAGCACCTCACAGAACCTTCTCCAAAACTGATAATATACTCAGTTACAAAGTGTCATCAAATACAACAAAATTGAAATAGCTCCCTACCCCTGTTTCTTGTAAGACTACCAAGGATTATAGCTGGACTTCAACAAGAATAAAAATATGAGAGACCTACAACCTCATTAGTGTAGAGAGTGTTCAGTTTCCATGGATTTGTAGGTGTAGGAAGAAATAAAGAAATTGAAGACTTTCTAGAATTCAATATAAAGGAAAATACAACATACCTATATTGTGGATAAGTTCTAATGCTACTTGTACTAATTCAGCTCCCAAAATTACATAGAAACCTGCACATCTGCATGTAAGATGCTGAAGGTCCCTTCCCCCAGTTGGTTTTAATTGGTAAACAAAGTTGCCAGCGGCTATGGCTGGGCAGGGAGACAGAGGTGGGACATTAGCGTTTGTGGGCAAGGAACCGAGGAAGAAGAGGAATCACCATTGCTGGGAGAAAAAGGAGGTCCAGGACTGAACAGTGTAGGATAGAGAGACAGAGAGACTGCCAATATGTAAGAGTCAGGGATCAAGGTCCAGGAGGGCTGCAGGCATTGAATCAGGGGTGGCAGAGATGCAATATAGATCTTAGTAAGCAACAATTCAGGAGCATTAGAGAGGAGGCATTAGCAACATGGAAGTTTGGAAGTTGTCTAGCAATTGAGCCATTTAGGCATATTAAAATAGAAGGCAGTGTGTGTGTGTGTGTGTGTGTGTGTGTGTGTGTGTGTGTGTGTTTTATTTGAGAATCCAGAGCATTGGGAAGATAGTAAAGAGTGTGTGCTGCTTCTGGGTGTAGAGTGAACTAATCGACTACAGCAACATATCCAAACTTAAGAGACACACTGAAAGCAGTGCTAAGAAGAAAGTTGATAGCACTAAGTACTTTTATAAAGAAATTCGTGAGATGTCATACTAGTGCCTTAACAGAACACCTAAAGCTATATACAAACAGAAGCCAACAAACCAAGAGGAGTAGACAGCAGGAAATAATCAAACTAAGGGCTGAAATCAATGAAACAAAGAGAACAATATAAAGAATCAAGGAAAAAAATAGTTCTTTGAAAACATCAACAAGATACACAAACCTTAGCCAAATGAACTAAAAGGAAGATAAAGAATATCCCAATCAACAAAATGTAAATGTAAAGAAATGTAAAGGGGGCAAAGCACTTGACACTAAAAAATCTAGAGAATCATTAGGCCTTATTTAAAAAATTTGTACCATCTAAGAAAAGCTAAAAGCATACAAGTGCCTTCAGGAGAAGGCCCACAATTTTGCATGCCTTGTGATAGGTGAGCTGTGAGATACAAAGTCACTAGAGATTTCATCTCAGGACTGCTTTGTGTTGTTAATATACCTGTCCTGTCACTATTACATATCGATTCCTGAGCATTAGCCCACACTATTGGTTATATTTCCTGTATAATCAATATGAAGGTGTACTTTCCTAAAGTAATGCTGTGTAGATAAACTGATGATTTTGTAATCCCTGATGATGATTTTTTAGAATTTTTAAATTTATTCAAGTAATTTCTAGTCCTCTGAAAAATAAAGCTGCAAATAGAGTTGTAAACCTTCATGTGTCGTGGACTAATTGTACTAGAATAAGAATAGATGAAAAGATATTAAAAATCCATATTCTCTTGATGGACAGAAGCCCTACTGCATTCCCATCTGAAGTCTAACAAATATTCAAACACACTTATATAACAGGCTGTATTCTTATGATCTCAGTCATACCTAGTAGTATAATCCAACCCCCAAAATATAGGAAAACAATCTTAAAATTTCATCAACCTATTATTGTTTCCCTTAATGCCAAAGGAATTCAGTAAAAAGGTAGTTTTAAGGCATCACAAGTCTTAAATGTCAAAATGCAAAGTGAGAGTAATGAGAGTAGTGGACAACTGATATTAAAACAGACCTATTGGAACAAAACAGAGAAACATGAAATATATCAAGTATATATTTTCAACTGAGGGTCACAGGCACCAAGAAAACACCATGGATCAGGACAGTCTCTTTAGTGGATAGATCTATGAAAACTAGGTGTCCATACAAATGAAATAAAAGCTTTGTCTCATAACCTATAGAAAGTATTAACTTAATAGATTAAATATGTAAAGCTAACAACTGAGATTATAAGATTTCAAAAAGAAAAAAAAACACATAAGAACAAAGCTTGGCAAATTTTCTTAAATATAACCTCAAAGGCAAAGTGAACAGAAGAAAGATTAGAAAGATTAAGTAGAACTGCAGAAAACTAAAACCATTTTGTACAAGAAAGAAAAATGATCAACAGAGTGTAAAGGCACCAAGACTTCAGAATCCCAGACAAATATTTTATGAACCATAAACCTGATGGAGTAACACACAACACACATCAATAGTATGTGTTCTTCGTGATGCACAAACTGACCATAATCAGTTGCTTATAAAGTACTTGTGCACCAACATATGGTCCACCTCAACTCTTCAATCCTTTCAAAACAGATCACTACAGTCAAGTAGTTATTAAGGCTGACAAACTTCCTACAATAAGGAGGAAATAAATGATGCTGATTCTTGAAATGGCTAAGATGATCTGTAGCCTGTCTCTCTGCTCCCTACATTTTTCTCCTGCAGAATCTTTAGGAAATATAGTAAGCAGTTACTTGATTGAAGATGTTCACAATAGTTTTGGGCTTAGGTGTTTTCTTTTCTGGCCATATGATTGTGAATATAAATGCAAATTGTTTTCCTTTGGTGATAAAAGTATTAAAATATTGATTCTAATGTAATAAATTATAAAGAATAATTGTACATGGGAGTGGTAGAAGTACAGGTCTATGCCTGCTGTTATCCAATGACTATCTAGCAAGAGGTTTAAAAATGAGAACTAAGAGAGCCCACTGATGACCACTGTGACTCTGAAGTTCTCTTTTGTGATTTGAAAAAAATATAAATATTATATGCTAGCTCTTCACTGATTGCTGCTAATCATTCTGTATACACATTTCCTCTATAAGCCTTTAAAGAAAAGAATGTCGTGTCAAAATCATATTTTAGTGTTATTATATTTATCGCAAATTTTACTTCTAAATAGAGGCAGTATTTTATATTTAATAGATTCTCAGAAGTATTTGAAAGTTTAAAATTTATCATGGAAATGCTTATGTGAAATATTATGATTAGAATGAAATACAAATTATTAATATTTCATACACTTTCAGTATAGACTGTAAGATAAAGGCTGATGAAAATTTTGATTTATAGTCACATATAAATTGAATATTAAAAGGTTAGAAAATATCCAAAGTAAAAGAGAGTTTATTCAACAATATATCATGAAGCTATGTTTCTTCTTGTGGCTGGAGCAAAAGGTTCTGTCCCCCAACACAGCTGATAACACGGCAGCTTTATTGCCTCCTACTTCACTCTGTTAAAATAGGATCTTTTGAGTTTACACCCAAACCACAGATCCTCATGCAGTGATGAAAGTTTCACACAACTAAACAACATCACATAGACATACATCTAGGAAAACAAAAGAACTAAGGATATGCTACCACAATTAATGCTGTTTACCTCTGTTCCGAAGTTGCAGGTAATGAGATATGATTGTTATGGAGAAGGCTACAACACACAAGAATTGGAAAAATATCATCGTTGTGTCTAATATACAGGAAGATGCTCTGCATCCAGGTATAAATTCTAAAACAGAGAGTTATGATTAATAAAAGGAGCTTAGCAGTATAAGACAGTAGCCCAAGGACAGCCAACTGAAAAGGTGGGTCAAGTAATTATTGTATCACCATCCCAGTCCTACTAATCTCATAAGTACAATCGAAGCATCAGGCTTGTTTTTATAACTAGGACATCTCAGTTGAATTTGTAAGACAATCAGAGCGTAGAGGAGTATCCTTTTCTGATCCCTACAATATAACTTAGCATGAAATCAGTGGCTGAGGTGAGTAGAGACAGCTCAGTCATAGGAGTCTTCATCTGATTCAATCTTGGGCAAGAGTAGCTGTGAGAACAATGCTAGCTGAAATTAGGAGCTGAGTTGGATCTATGTATTCTTAAAACAGAAGTGGCTGGCTCCTTCAGTCATGGAGGAAACACACTCTCCCATTTCATCTGCTTCAACCCTGCTCAGACTTATTCCCTAAGCTAAACAGACAGTACACAGGTATTTCTCTTTAGACTACTGAATGTGTATATCCATAGAATAGTTAATCCTCATATCTCTTTCCATAAAAGGATAAATTAGATTTTTGAAGGAACTAGAAATATATTTCTGACAAAATAGCACATTTTGACCTGTAGTCTCTGAAAGACAGTGAATCAGAACTTATTTTTGTGTTTCCGGAATCACCATGGAACATATCACGTCCACTGTGGAACAGACTATATCAATTACTCAGTGGTCTTCAGTGTATGGATGATTTGAAGACGAAACTTGAAACCAAGTACTGAATGTTATAGTATAATGATATGGAATGAAATTTAGAACTAAACATTTCTGTAGTTCAATCTTGGCTGTGTCATTTATGACATGTGTAATCCAATATGTCCTTACCCCTAATAAGATCACAAGCAACAGAAGTATCTTTTAGGAATAATTTAGATAAAATGATTATCACAATGTTTGGCATAATAAAAATATCCTCTAAGTATGTTTTGCGTATTAGGATTCTATGTATTATATTAAGCTACTAGAATGAATGGACTTTAACTTCTTTGAGTCACCTGACCTTTGAATCAATGGTAAACTATATCCTTTTTTCATCACTTTGAACTCAGGTTTCTTAGTGAATAATTTACTCAGCCTCTGAATTCTTGTGTCTCCATATAGCAGCTCAGTTCTATAGTAAATAATAAATTTTGTTTTGTCATTAGGATCAGAAAGGGTACTGTTCTTTTTCATTAATTTTATGTGTTTAGGTGCTTTGCCTACATGTAGTCTGTGCATCATTTTTATATATGATGCCTACAGAGGCTATAAAAGTGTGTTGGATCTCCTAGAACTGAAGTTATAGACAGTTATGAGCCATCATGTGAGTGCTGTAAATTGAACACAGGTTCTCTGGAAGTATACCCAGTGCTCTTAACCTCTGAGCCATCTCTCCACCCCGCAAAGGTTGTTCTTATGAATAACTGTTATTTTTTTATCTACTGGATCTCTGTATCATTACAAAGTTTAATACTAACATGTAGTTTAGGCTTAAAATAAGAAAAAGGAATTTGGTTGTAAAGGAGTTATTGACTTATATAAGTACCTTTTATATATTAATTTTTCCAAGACTCTGACTTAAACTATAATACTAAAAATAGTTGTAAGACTAGAAAGATGGCTCAGTGGGTAAGCAATTTTGTGCAAGCATGGGGACTTGAGTTTGAATCCAAGCACCTACATTTAAAAAACTAAAGCTGGATATGTCTGGATATGGACCTATAATTCCAGTACTATGTGTAGTAGAAAAAATGCAGAGCCTTTGTGTGTTCTTGCTGCCAGCCTAGCTCTAGGTTCAGTGAGAGATGTTCTCTTAAAAGAAAAAAATTGAAAGTGAGAATAAGAAACTCAAAGTTCATCTCTGGCTTTGAGAGTGGAAGTATATGTCAAAGCATCTACACACACTGATGAGCATATACCACACACACACACACACACATACATACATACATACACACACACACACACACACACACACACACACACACACACTCATACCCTGTCCACACTGAACACTATTCTGAAATTTATCACCACATTAAATCTAATCTAGGATAAGACTCATATGTGTCAACCACTTAGAAATTAGAGGTGACAGGATGACTTTACTGTGATGGAAGCAATTATTTCTTTTTTTCTAAACCATCTAAATTGTAGTAGTGTATTTAAACTGTTAGTTTTCTAATATGACTTTTTCCTCACATATTGTATAAAATGACAATATGTAGGTTCAATACTAATAAGCAACAGTTGTAATTCAAATTGTATGCTTTATTTTTTGGGAACAATTATTTATGAGAAGAACAATACCTTTAATTTTTAGTGTTCCCTTTAATGTTTCAGAGTGTGCTGTTTAAGGGATATAGAAATTAACTGTGGATATGGAAAAGCCCAGAAAATATTCATAGTGTCCTTCATCACTAAAACTAAAATTGCCTTGGAAATTACAGTGTTGAAAGGTATAAAATTCAAACCTGTAAAGTAAGAAGCAAGCTGTGTATGGAAGTGAGAAATATCTTTTAATTTTAACTAAACTCTCCATGTGACTTAGGTAAATGCTTCTATCTCTCTTAAATAAATTACCTGAGTTCATGAGATATAAAATTAAAAGGTAAAATAAACATAAACAAATCGATATTCCAAGGAAAATGAAAATTAAATATTTTATGTAGTTCTCATCAAACAGGGCATCTGAAAAAAACCAAAAAGAATATCTTTTAAAAACACATAGCAAAGAGCCCCACTAAACCAGGAAGGAGCTACCAGGAGAGCAGGATTCCCTTCAGATTCTGTGCATTATCCTAATGCCTCTCTTCCTCCCTCCCTCCCTATAGTCCTTTATAGAAAACTAACTCTCTCTTCTCAGAAATTAAATGATGCCAATAGTTCCTCAGGTAGGGAATCTCCCCATGTCTTTGCTAGAGTTTTGTATGGCTTCAGCTTGTGCACATCTTGCACATACAGTCATATCCACCATGAGTTTATATTTCAACTGAAATTCATATAACAATATTTACACTCAAGATCATTGCTAGCTTTATTTCTAAGATACGTTCACTGCAAATAGTTCACTGAATCAACTGCAAATTCATCTTTTATAATTTACTTCTATGCTTTAGAATTAATTGGGGTTTTTTTCAGTTTTTCTTTCACTACATCTATTACTTACTTTCTATTTGAGGTATTTCTTATTATGTAGCCCAAACTGAACTCAAATTCTGTACTCCTGCCTCAGCCTTTAAAGTACCAACATGCCTAACGTCTGATTTCTAACTCATTCTTGTCAACTTCTCTGATATTCCAGAAAACATTGTCATAAAGCCATATTTAATCACAACAACAGTTATTTTTCAGTAAGTTTCCCAATTCTCTCAAGCAGTACAGAGTTTTTAAAAGAGAGACAAAACCTGTACCTTTAGTTAATGTAGAAAAACATTGTATGAACTAGTATCTAAAGGTATAAACCATCCTCTTTCCATCTCCACATAGTATGTTTCTGTGTGAAATTTATTTTTAGTATTTGAATGTTACCCAAGGGTAGCTTGGTTAAACATAAGATAACCTTTTCCTGATTTGATTTTTTTGTGTTCAACCATCATGTCTTCTCAGAGCAAGCAATGAACAAATAACCACCCAGTCTGCATCTTAGACATTTTTCTTACTGCTGTTTTTACTAACATATACATACATACATACATACATACATACACACACACATATATACAAATGTATACATATATGTATATATATATGTATATATATATATATACATATATATATATAGTTTGTTTTTCTAAATGAAGGAAATAATACAAAGTGTTCAATACCATTTTTCATATTACTGAACTAGCATCTGGTTAAAATTACAGGTGAATATTATTAGGTCTAATGAGAAAAAATTAGTGTCTCTAAAGCTGCAAGATATGCTTATTTATAAATTCCCACTGTTTATTTTTCTTCTAATACCCTACATTTAGCATTTGTCTAACCAGAACCAGTATCAATGGTGAAGAGGCACAGTAAAGTTATTTTCTGCAATGCAGTACATCCTTTAACATTCATTAATTCATTGATTTATTCTTTGTGCTTCCACGTTGGCAAGTAATCCTCATGACTGAGTACTTACTTGCTATGATAAGACTGGTTTGCTTCTCTTCACCCGTTAGAGGATTATGAACACAGCATGTGATACTTTCCTGTGACTGGTTTCTAAGGAGAAGAGTAATTTTCATGAAGAAAAATCTGTCTTCATTCTGAGAGTATGATATTGAAGAATATGGAACTACATTCCCATTATTGTCTTTCCACTCCATTTGGGGCCGGGGGAACCACCCTACTGAAGAACACTCCAGAATGATGCCATCATATCCAAAACTCTGAACATTGATTTGCATCTTCAATCCAAATGCTAGTGAAAATGACAAGGAAATAAAAGCATAGTTATTAAGCTGAGGTTTGATTGACAAGATTGGATTTAAAAACACATGTGAGTCTACTTCCATATCTGATTGGTAAGTTAGACTAATTGGTTGCTATATGATGTCTATTCTCTGCTTAGTTTATTTTTTGAGGTAAATGTATAACTTTTACCCATTGCTTAGATATTTTAGAATATAAAATATAATAAACCCATAACAAACGGCCAAGATGATGCAATGTATTTCAGTTTGTTGGTCACAAGGACACTGGTATATTAGGTTCCACAAGCGACTTACCAGCCACACTGAGGTTCATGAAGGCCACATCACTAAAGCCACTATCATTAAATGAACATTGGTAAGGCCCATCATCGAAAATGCTGATGTTATGAATTCGGAGGGCCACTTTGCCCTTTCCAATGGCCTCACTCACAAATTCTGTGCGCTTCACATATTCAGGAGCAGCTTCTCCATCCACTCCATGGCCACCTCTGTACTGATAAACAAGTTTAGATTTGTCTTCCCTGAACCAGCGCACATCCATATATGCCACACTGCGTGGTGGAGTCACCTGGCAGCTGAGCTCAGCCTGGCCTCCTACTCTAGCCACCACATGTCCAGTGGGAGTCGTCACCATCAGATTCTCTGTGGGGAAAAATTGAAATCAAAATAAATCTGAAACTAATAAGACTTTGCTGCCATGAACTGCTTAGAAGAACATACCAAATCCTACCTAGAAGACCTAGCTGATCTAAATTTTAACTCTTTTACATTCTGTTTTTTTTCTTTCAATGTTTCTGAAAACCAATGCCAGATCATCCCTATCATCAAAATAGATTGTAGTTAAGTAGGAATCCCCAGTAATCTGTTTTTCTACTTAATTATATGGGAGAATCTATGTGGTAGAACTATTTTGGAACTCTGGAATCTATTGAAGGCTGTTTATCAGTTTCTGTGGCAAAATATCTAATTCCTAATTATTTCATATTGGTGTTGGGAATTGAACTCTGGTCCTCTGGAAGAGCATCCAGTGCTCTTAACCACTGACCCATCTCTCCAGCCCCTCCCTTATGTTTTAAGGTGCTAATGTAGAAACTTCTTTGGGAGATTTGGAAGTGAACTCAGGATCCTCCAACAGATGAACACATAAGAAAAGTATGGTATATACATATAATTGGTGAATGCAGAATACATTACTTTTAATTTTTTGCAGAACCTGGTCTCTATTAGATCAATTAATAAAGTTAGGCTTATTTACTGTAAGTTTTCCTTCCTTAAAGTTTATGTAGTTTTGACTATATGTCGTTGCCTTTCTCTATTCTCACCCCCCATTTCTCCTCTCTCCAAGAAACTTGAACATATTTTTCAGATAGGGATACCAAACGGAAAGTTTCCTGTTTGTTTGTCTAAGATGAAGTCTATGTATTCTTTACATTTAAAAGATAATTAATATATTATAATAATGATATATTAATATATAATATATTATAACAATTATAATATATATCATATGTAATAATGATAATTATATATCATAACATATGATATATAGTCCTAAATTATTAGGTTTTCCATGAATGCTTTAAATGATTTTCTGCATCTATTTCTTGCTTATATGGTTTCTGCAAAGTAGGAGGTAATTTTATCTTGTTTAAGGGGAGATGGACAAATTTCCAATTCCTCTACCAATGACTGCTAGTATTTTAAATTGTATCTTTCATTTTCATTATACTTTGAATACTATATGCAAAAGTGCATTTTTTCTGTTTGTTTTGGCTCTTACCCTGTTTGGTATTCTCTGAGACTACTGGATCTGTAGGGAGTTTAAAGCATGGTACTGCTCTTCCTTTTTGTCTTTCTTCTTTATTACAAATGTCATAAGTTGTCTCAGGGTTCTTATATTTTTTCTGCAAAACTTGAAATCTTTCTTCTATTTATACATTTCTATGATTAATAATCAAAATCAGAATTCTTCCCAAACTTTGTCCATTCAGTCTACTCAAAAAAGAGACATTCTTTAATTCTGCTACCATGTTTTTAACTATAATATTTCTTTTCTTTATTTCTAAGAATTTCTAGCTTTGCTTCTATTATCCATATGATCTTGTATGTTGTCCATTTTGCCATTAGATTACTTACAATATTAACTACAGTTGTATTACATTTCTAGTCTGATAATTGCGGACTAACTATGGTTTTACTTGCTCTATCTATCCCTGTGGATTCTGGTTTGGTTTTTTTGTGTATCGAGAAAATTTTCATTTGGAGTCAAGTGTACTACAATTAATCTCCCTGATGGTATATTTTAATGATGTGAATTAAGTAAGGTGTATGAGAAAAAGAGAAGACCATTCTGCATCTTTTTTATTTGGATCTGGTCTTTCAATGAATCTGTGCCTTTGGGCTATGACCTTTTTGAGGACTTCCGAATGTCTTTGTTTCCTGAGAGGGATAGGACAGAAAGAAAGAAGACTTGAGTTCAATATTATCTTTTTCCCAGGTCAATTCATTCAGGCCATGAACCTCAACAGGTAATACTTTCAGGAAACAGTTCATCTTGAAGGCAGAACTAATTAAGGTGGACCTATTTTAGAATAGTTAGTTTCTCCATCACTCTCTTCTCACCATGAGAACCTGGTAGAAATGCTGGAAGAAAAGAGCACCATCCAGCACCTAACCATGATGGGGAATATGTGTTCTTTGTGGGTCAAACTGTTGCAGGTTGAGGGTCTAGTAACTCAGTGATTTCAGCTTACTTTTTCCTAGTTAACAACTTATTATTCTCAGATGTTTCTTCTCCCCTAGGGAATTATGACCTGGTAGAAATCTGCTCCTTTCTGGCTCTTTAACATAGAGGAAAGTGATACACCCTGGGATCTCACTGCCTTTCTGAATATAAGAAGAGTTGCTGCCATTCACCTCTTTAGTATTTTGATTATTATTGCAATGAAATAATGCTGCTAACATCCTTTTATACAAAAACTGGGCACTAGAAATATATCTTCTACCCTTTTCATAATTTCAATAGATAAGAAAAAAAGTGTTCTTACCTGAAGTTAATATTATTTGCAGGAAGATGAAGAACACATGATACCCAGGAAAATAAGAGTATGTAGGCTTCATCATAGCTAGAAAGGACAATGCAGCAAGATAACAGACAATAAGGGATGATATAGACATTTACTAGGTACACAAAATTAATTCATAATTTAAAAAAGCGACAATATTAATGTTCCCTTAAAAATAAACTTTTTCAGTGTTGGGGAAAAAAGAGACTGTCCTCACACATGGTTCTCATCAGAGCAGGAATTCCAAGTTCCTTTAGTCCTCTAGTTCACACTCCTTAGTTCCTTTAACTTTTAGACTAACCTTGTTAAGTGACCAGTTCCCTAAGCAGATGCATTTTACACAGAGTGGAAGGAAAATGTTTTAAGTATATTGATAGATGTAGGGAACAAAAGCAACCAGTGTAAAGACATAGGTGTCTAAATGTGAGTGAAAATGTAAGAAAAATATTTTAATCCATGTAATTGAAAAATATATTGATATCAAATAGTGGATAAACAAAAGTCCTCTCTTAAAAATAGCATATGTTATTTCTAATCAGTGGAACAGTGCTGAAGCCTGTTAATTAGTAATTTTTAATGATCACTTCTATACTTTAAAATATGAAAATGGTTTGTGACTATATTGTTGAGAGTTGAAAACAAAGACATAACCTTACTAAGAAAAAACCTGGATGAACTGAACATTAATGTCTTTTACAAACCTATCAGAAAAAAATCATCAAGAGCAATTTCTTAGATTGAAATTTGGGAACAAGAGAGTGGCCACATAAAGAAACATGAGTAAAAATTTACAAATCTTAAAAAGATACAGAATGGTGCCATACATTTATAATAAGATTAACCACAGTTACAACTTGCAAGCAAATTATTAAATTTATGTATATATATATGCCTTTAAGGCATCAGATAGTAAAGCTTTGCATTATCTGACTTGCCTTTTTTCCATGAACTCAGAATGAGGATGCAGACCATGAGGAGTCAACTTGTATTCTATTACTGATTGGAGGATGTACCATTATTTCAGGTCTTTCCTAAACTATGTAAGTTCCCTACTTTAAAAATGAATGAAATGCCAAAGAAGGAGCAACATAAATTCAGTTATTGAGAACTTGTAGAAATACATGGCACATTGAAGAGAGAAAAAGAAAAAAAAAACCATATGTGATATTTCACAAAATCAGAAGGAAAAAACTGGCAAGATTCATACAGAATCACAAAAGACCCTAAATAGCCAAAATTATCATTAGAAAAAAAAGTACTGCTTGCAGTATTACCATATCACATTTAAATATATATTACAGATCCAGAGTAATAAAAGCAACATGATACTGGTAATTAAATAGAAGCATAGACAAATGGAACAAAATAGAAGACCCAAATACAAGTACATGCAACTCCAGACATTTGATATTTGATAAAAATGCTAAGACTACACACTGGATAAAAGATATAATGTTCTATAAATGATGCTAAGGAAAAAGGATATCTACATAAAGAATAAAATTAGAGTCATGTCTATCACCCAAAACAAAGGTCAGCCACAAATGAACCAAGTACCTCAGGGTGAACATCAAACACAGAAGCTTGTAGAAGAAAACACAGCCAAGATCCAGATGTAGAAAAGGACTTTTGAGTAGGAGTCCATTCACCAGGAATTACAGGCAACAACTGAAAACCAGGGCCTCATGAAACTAACACTCCCTGTATGGTGAACAAAACAATTGACCAAAGGACTGTAGAGTGGCTATATATCAGGTTGAGAATTAATATGCAGAATATCTGAAGACCTAACACACACTAAAGGAACCAACAAAACAAGTGACCCAACTAAAAATGGGCTACAGATATGAGCAGACAGTTTTCAAAAGACAAAATGCAAATGGCTGAAAAATAATTTTTAAAATGTTCAACATTCTTAGTTATTAAAAATTGCAAATTCAGAGACTGATATTTCATCTAATATAAATAAAAATAGCTAAGTCAAAAACAAATAAGCAAGTGAACAAATAAATAAACCAAAGCCCAAATCAAAGCAAACCACAAGAAACAGGAAATGCTGGCATATATAAGGAGAAAAGGACTACAGATTGATAAAACAACTCTGGAAATCAGCGTGGAGGGTCCTCCAAAAACTCAAGTAGATCTACCATATGATCCAGCTTTACTCCTTGGGGCATATACACAAAGGACTACATCCTACAACAGAGACATTTGATTATCCATATTCATTGCTGTTCTATTCATAGTAACCATGAGAAGGAAACTACATGAATATTTAACTAATGAATTTAATAAAGAAATATGATATATTAGAATATGTTGAAATCACTACTGTTAAAACATGTGTGTGTGTGTGTGTGTGTGTGTGTGTGTGTGTGCAAGAATAACAACAGAGTTAATCTACAACAGGCCAACATTATTATTTGAGACATCATAGGCTAACAAAGACCTAGACCCAGGAATAAATTACGTCTTTTGGAGCTGTTGGTCATTGAGATCCCATAGATCCTCAAACACTATAGTCTGTTAGTAAATTTCTAGAACTTAACATTAAAACACTCTCTCAAAAAAAAGGAAAGGAAACCAACCAACAAACAAACAAACAAAACCCTCTGTTCCTGAAGACATGATGTATCTGTGCTATAAAACATGAAGATACTAAGCTACTGACCTGAAAACTTCATTTTTACTGTCTGGCTTTAACAATATTGAAAGGGGACATGCACAATACTAGAAGAGAAAAAAATCATCAACCATACTCAGCTATAAACTCTGCAAGCAACAATAATGGCTGGCCTGTCAAGGTATTCTCATGGATAGAATAGTAGCCAGAACATCATGGGATTATGAAAAATCATTTTGATTGGATTTAAATCCTTCTCTACAAGATGAAAGCCATGACTGACACTATATTGGACAATGACTCTATGACCAGATTGATCTAGGCCTATCTATACTCAAAGCATTCAATTGCTTTCATAATACAAAGTCAACATTACACAAATAAGCAGCATGGTCAGGCCTGTCACTGCAATACGCTGCTCCCTGGTAACAACTTCTGTATTAGTCAGTGTTTTCTTGCTGTGAAGAGACACCATGATAGGTGCAACTCTTATAAAGGAAAATATTTAATTGTGCCTGGGTTACAGTTTCATAGGTTTAGTCCATTGTCATCATGCAAGGGAGCATAGAAGCATTCAGACAGACATGGTGCTGAAGAAGAAGTTGAGGGTGAAATGTGGTAGTTTGAATAAGAATGACCCCATAGACTCACATGTTTAAATGCTTGGTCACCAGAGAATTGCACTATATGAAAAGATTAGGAGGTGTAGCATTTTTGGAATAATTGTATCACTGGGTGGGTGGACTTTGTGGTTTCCAAAATCCCATTTGGAGCCCAGCAGTTCTGTTCTGTTCTGTTCTGTTCTGTTCTGTTCTGTTCTGTTCTGTTCTGTTCTGTTCTGTTCTGTT